AGTTTACTGGACATTGTACGACGGGACTGCCGTAAACTGCACTGCATTTTGCCTGCAGTTGGCTGGCGACCAGTCAGCCAGGACAGGCAAGTCTAAGAGAAAATGGATGAACGGTTATTGACATCACTATTGTATATGATGGGCAATACATTTCACGTGAGATAAAATGAATACTTTTATGACAATTAAAATGGAGAAGTACTGTGCATGTCTTCCAAATGAAGCATCTACTGAGAGTCAACAATGCTCATCATGCCTTAGTTGCTGATGATGTGTACGCTTACAGTCTGGTTCTTCCAAATTGGACAAATGGCCACCAAAAAGTGTGAAAAGTGATTGACAACAGAGCTAGTTAGACAGCGACGATGCCCTAATGGATGCTAGGTCGAGCAAGTGTGGGGGGGGGCAGCTGAATATTTAATGTACATATAATTCCTCAACACACACACACACACACACACACACACACACACACACACACACACACACACACACACACACACACACAGGTACACACCCACCCCGTGACCTGTCCTACACACTAAGTAATTAGGGAAACAGTCCTTTCGTTTAGCTGCCCAAAGAGCAAATGGTAGGTATATATTCCCCTAATGATGTGGGTTAAAGAGCTATTATACGTCTCATTAAAATATATGATCTCCCAATCTGCTGCTAGTTTGAGGTAATGGGCAAGAGAGCGGCACGCAGGGGGCTAAAACATCATCCTTGTTAGGCCTGCTGTCACCTACATATATCCATAGCACGATGAGGTGACTGCACAAAAAACATGCTGAAGTAATTAACAAATAAACAAACTCACAGGACTAGATAGGTATGTATCAAGGCTTTAAAAAAAAAAAAAACTTTGGGGTCACAATGTCTTCGTGAACGAATGCCAAGTGTTAGCTCACCATTTCCATCATGAAAATGTTGATGTTTATTTCCTCAAAGAGTGGCCATCCAATGTGTGTTCTTTCTACTTATGCCTGACACGTCCAAGTTTTTTTTTACAGATTTTTCAAATGTAAAAGACCCCACACATGATGAGGAAAAATGTCTGTCATAGAACCATGACTGACCTGCATGAGGCGCCATGGTGCAATAGACGCAGAAAAATACAAATAAGATACGAAAGAAAGATCATTAGTCGTCGTAGTAGTGGTGGTGGTGGTAGTAGTAATAGTAGTAGTACTAGAGGTTGGACTAGTAGTAGTACTAGTAGTAGTTGTAGTGAGGAGTGGAATTACCCTTTGGAAAATTTGGTCATTGCCCAAGTGACCAAGATTTCCAGGGCCCCGCTACACATCATGAAAAGTGATTAATAACGTTTTCTTCTATTTAAAAGCAATGATGTATTGATTTATTCTATTTTTTTTTTTAAAGCATCAAAAATCATGATCGTTTTCGGTGTTTCTCCTCCTCCCAGTGGTGGTGGTGGTAGTAGTAATAGTAGTAGTACTAGAGGTTGGACTAGTAGTAGTACTAGTAGTAGTTGTAGTGAGGAGTGGAATTACCCTTTGGAAAATGTGGTCATTGCCCAAGTGACCAAGATTTGCAGGGCCCCGCTACATATGAAAAGTGATTAATAACGTTTTCTTTTATTTAAAAGCAATGATGTATTGATTTATTCTAAATTTATTTATTTATTAATTTATTTTTAAAGCATCAAAAATCATGATCGTTTTCTGTGCTTCTCCTCCATCCTCCGCTAGCTACAACTTATATCGGAATTTAGTGGATTGTGCAGGCGTACCTATTGATGTGGCTTGTAGATTGCCCTGAAACTTTGGCTACTTCATTACTGCTTGTCATTAATACAGTCTGCACACACACACACACACACACACACACACACACACACACACACACACACACACACACACAAAAAAGAAGCGTGCATCTGTTGTGTGCTGCACTGCATGTCAAGTGTGCCTCGTGGGCACACAAAGTGCAATCTCTTGACTTGAAGGCATGCAGCAAACAAAGGAACCATCTTACCTTCTCATTCTCAACGTCTTTCATTTCACAAGTTTCCTTTTTCAAGCCCTAGCATCATCTGGCTGCCCTTAACCAGCGAGGCAAACATTTCTTTTAAGTGGAGACTACTTTGTTAACTGATGGCCACGGGGCCAGTTATTGATCCCTCTCCTTTCTCTCACAAAAGCCCTGATGATAAGCTCCCCCTCCCTCCCATCATCTTCTCGCAGGGCTTCACCAACAATGATATCTCGTACATAACAGCGTTCACATGAATCAGATCCGGGTGGTTTCGATTAGCGCCACGCTAACGTGGACGCTTTGCCAGTCTCGGATCTATTTATGAACGAAGCGTGTAGGAGGTAGTGTTCCTCGCTCTTCCCCTTCCACTCTTAGAAGGTTTCCTCATTTCGCTCGACTTTAGCGGTTCAAGTTGAAACTTTCTTGTGGTGTTGACCTCAGAGAGACCCTGCGGGGAATGCAGAGACCCCTGGTGATCCACTGCTAAACTGCAGCAGTGGCCCACCTCTTCCATCCCGCTTGTGTTGGGAGGAAGGGGAGCGGAGGATAGAGCTGGCTGCCTCTGCTTGGGTGTGTGTCTGCCCTTGTGTGAGAAGGCCACTCCATAACATTAAAAGTTCACATTTCGGTGAGGCAAAAGCCCTTATTACACTGCATTTCCGCTAAATTGGCATAAATGGACATATTGTGCGTGGTAGGGGTTAAGCGATTTTTTGTAGGTGACTGTAATCTGGTGAAAGTCGAGTCAGAGTCAATTAATCTATGATGACAGTGATATTTTGGGAGTTCAGTGGCTTCCAACGTTTTTAGCGCTACAAACTGGTTTCGTGTAAAGACGTATCTCGATGTATTGACATAGAAACAAATCTGAAAAAAAAAGATGAATAAAAATACAACTCGCTGTTGCACTAAATAAAGTTGTAATTAGTGTGCGCATGTTTGTCTTTTGGCAACAAAGCATTTGCTACACTTTACGCCGTTGCCATCATTCCTAATCACCAGTCCTGTGGTCATGTTGACATGAATATCTTCAGCGTCGTGGTGATCGGAATAGCCAAATCTAATTGGCTAACCGCGATTCTCATCCACCACTGGCTTATTTTTGGTACTCAATTATGGTATTAGGCAGATGATGAATATTTTGCTTTTCTTTCCAATGTGCATGAATTTCACAACCCCCAACCCAAGCATGAAATGTTACACAACTCGAGGACAAGAAAACCATACTGTATTTCATTTTGAGTTGTACACATGTCCCTTCCTTGTCGTGATGGGCAATAAGTCCACAATGAGGAGCAAAACGAGGCAGCAGAGAGGAGGACAAATAGAGACGGAGAAGGTGAGACAAAAAAATTGAGATAGCATAAAGAAAATGAGACAAATAACAGCAGCAGGGTGTGAAAGCGAGGAGGAAGAGGACAGGAGAATACATAGTATGTAGCGCTGGGGACCAAAGCAAGAGTGCAAGGCTAATTACTTTCTGATGGGTGCACTTTCATTCGGCCAAAAGGGCAGCTAACTTAAAGGTCACATTGCCATTCCTCCTCCATGGAAGCACACACAAACAGGTGCACACAAAATACACAAAGCTACAAGAGCGAGTGCAGCAACTGAAAAAAAAAAAAAAACACAAAACACCCACACTACAACAAATTATTCTGCTGCTAAACACACACGCCGACAGACACATTCTCATTTATATGGTGTCCTGGTCAGAACAAGGACCAGCCTCATTATTCTATATCAGGACTTTTATTATCACCAACATATCCAGTGGAAATGACTCTTGGCTTTATTTGAATGTCTATCGAAGTGCATGCATGTGTGTGTGTGCGTGCGTGTGTGCGGTCAATGGGGAGCTTCATCCTGGCAGCAAATACATTCACTGGCACCAGTACAAAGAATGCATATTTCCGATGCATTTAACGCAAATGAAGCAAGTCCTAATATAGAGGGACATATGTAAGTTCATTTGAGTTGATGCTGTGTCAAAAGTAAACAGAAAAGAGGATCTATGAATTCACAGCAAACACATTGAATAAATATATTGACACTGATTTCAGTTCCAAGCTAAACATGTCAATATATAAACATTTAATAGAGCATTGACTTGTTATGCGAGCTGAAGTCGTTCCGTGACCATGCTTGTCACTCAAAACTTGTATATCAAATCATCTTTCTCCATTTAAATGAATGGAAACAGCAATAAACCATTCCAGACCCCCCTCCAAGAATGCAATGTGTTTTTTTAATATGACAAATAATGACAACTAAAATAGAATGTAAGCGATTTACTTTTATGATTTTTTTATTTATTTATTTTTTTACCCATTTTATTGCTTCAGTTTGATGAACATCGTGTTGCTTCTCCTGCTCTGTACGCCTTAGCCATCTGGTGGCAGTATAATACAAACATATGGATGTACATAGAAATGGTCACTGCTCAGTAACCCACAGCAATATTAGTTGTTCATCGCCGAGGATAGAGAATATGACTATGGGTACTGTCATTTTGTCATTTTTGCGCAAAGTTCCATTGCTTAAGCACTTATAACACGGATACACCACAGCTATTTGTTAGCCCATCGACTGGCGTTTTGCATTGTTAGATTAAGCTAAACAGTCTTATCTAAAGCAAAGCTATGTGGTTGTTTGAAATACTCAGTGTATTTTTTTTTCCCCTTTTATGTTCAGTTTGGAAATGAACTCCAACTGGTAGTGGCCATAAACAGCTGTTTTTTCATTTTATTTTGAAGAACTGCTCACAATCTGCCAAACTGCTGCTTGATGTGAAGTGAACTGAGTTCATTGCCACCAAACAGCGTGCGTGTGTCTCATGTCAAACCAGAAGGAAGAAATGAATGTGACGATAATAATAAATTAAAAACGCTGAACATGAGGCATGGGTTCTTTATGTTTCAAATTAAATTAACTTAAAATGAATATGTGCTTTTTGTGTTGACATAAAATGATGCATGCTGTACACGCACACACAAACTCACCTATATCCCGCTTTTTTCGGGTCTCCTGCTCTTGCTTGGCTATTTTGGCCTTCAGGACTTCATCTGTTTTAGCTAAAAAGGAAAACAAAACATAGTTAATAACTGTGATATGTGGAAAATTTGTAGTGCAAAAAAAAGTGACACATTTAGTCTAAGCAAGGCGTGCTGAAAATAGTGCCAGTCATCACAGAGGAAGCAGTAAATGAGCATACAATAAAAACAGAATTTTGTTTTCTCGCAGGCAGGAAGTAGTTTTCTCTATGAAAAAGTCAAGGACAGCCACGCTGCCTCTCTCTCCCTCGCAGCTCTTTATCGTGTTGGCATAATGAAATGCTTAAAAATAAGCCAAGCGGCAGGGATAAACACTCGTCGGAGCATTATAAGCATCTCTTTTCACATGCCCCACTCGACCGACAAAATAATCAAGATGTTAAGCCACATTAAAAAAAAGTATAAGGACTATCAATACAGCCGGTAAATTAATTACATTTCTGCGGTGCGCCGCATCATTTATTTTGCGTGCGGCGAGGCCTCGACGGAGCCATTCGCCTTTATTGCGATCTCGCCACTTGATGAGTGAGTTATGTAAAATTGAGTCTCCAATATCATTACACCTAACGAGTTGAAACTTCAGCAAGGAAAAAAGTGTGCTGTGGTGTTTTATTTTTTTTAAAGGTGGGGTTAACGCAATACAAGAGTGGGTGGAGAGCACAGGGAGTGTGTGTATGTGTATGTGTGTGTGTGTGTGTGTGTGTGTGTGTGCGTGTGTGTGCGTGTGTGTGTGTGTGTGTGTGTGTGTGTGTGTGTGTTCATCCCCAACTGTGGGAATTTGACTGTAGATTGGTGCGGTGTGTGCTTTGTTTGAAATGCCTCATTGGAAGTGACTGGCTGTTTAGCTGCCAAGCAAACATGTTACATAAAATACATACACAGTGTATACAATGTGTGTGTTTGTGCGTTTGAGGCCAGAGGGTTAGCTCGACTGCGCTGCTGGTTTTGTTCACTAATTGGCGTAGACAAAGAAGCCGTCACACTGCGGTTACGGCTGCTTAAGTCTGGAGGTTACGCATCTTTACGAACAATGACTCGACATGGATGAGTGAACCCTCGTCTACCTCCCTCAGCATGTGTGCGTGTAACATCGCATGTTTGATATTGGTTCAGTTTAACTCGATGCTAACAAAGTCCCAATTTAAGAAGCCAAAGGTTCGGGTCAAAAAGCAAACCAGGTCATTCAGCAACTTGTCTCTTTATGATTACAGTGGAACCTCTATAGTCAAACATGAGTGCACAACATCATTTTGCCCGATTTGATGAAAAGTTTGTATAATAATCAAAAATAATGGGAAACAGAGGGATGCTACAAGTTTAATTTTTCATTTTTCATAAATAAAAATGAATTTAAAAAAAGCATTCTTAGTAATTCAAACCAGCCCTGGAAAATAAATAAACGTCTTAAACATTTTTTTCGATGCAAAATAGCACTCTTCTTAAAAACATAGCAATAACATAAAGCGAATGTACAGAATTAAACAATTTTTGCATCATGATTTCATACTTCAATGCCCATTGGCGTGCGACTTCTGGTTTGGACATGTTGGCCACCAGAGGGCAGTATAATAGCTTTCTGATAAACCAAGAGTTTCACATTAAGTAGAAAAAGTAATTTGGAATTTTAGTCTGCCAAATATCGGAATCAGCCTGAAAAATCCGTATCGGTCAGCCATTAATTATATTAGTCGTTTAATTGCAGAGGACAAAGAATGTATGCCTGTGACTATTATTACCTTGCCTCTCAACATGTGATGCTGCATCATTTGTATTTAGATATGAATTTGACTGTGCTATTTCCATAGAACCACCACCCTGGGAAAAAAATGGATCTTAATAATGATCAGATTAGGGGGTGTCACATAAAGCTAAAAAAAAAAAAGCAAAAGAAAGTCCCTCAATGTTCAGAATTTAGGTGTCACATGAGCAGAATTCTGAGGCTTTATGCAACTTCAGAAGTGTCATTTTCTTCTTCAGTCCAATAGTACAGTTGAGTTGTATTTTCCATTTTAAACACTACACTGGCACAAAATTTGTTTTCAAACATTTATTTAAATAAAATGTTGAATCTAACTTTAAAGTGCAATAAATTTTAATTGAATCATTCATTCATGAATACATTTTTGCTCCTCTATTTAAACGCAGTACTAATGTTCACACTGCATACGATTACAGCGGACCACATATGGAATACACTTTTAGGAATAAAACCTGTCTTGTTTTTGATGAACACTTTTTGTGTCACTTGGGAGAGCTAAGTATTTTTTTCCCGACGGTACTTGGTGTAAAAAGTGAGCGAGACATTGATGTAATATATGATATTACACACCAACTAGCAGCTTCGCTCGGAGGACGTGATGTGCCTCTACTTGGCATTGCTGTTCAGCCTTTGCGGAGGTCTGTTCTCCTCTGTGTGCTCTCGTTGAAGCCAAGAATTTATTTACCATGCACAGTTGTATGTTTGTGTGAGGACACCTGTGTGTAACGTAGGTGGGTGTGCGTTGCTTTGCTCGGGGCTACGGGGAGGCAGGAAAGAGATGGCGCGGTATTAGAGGTGGAAGAGAAAGGAGGGAAAAGGGTACAGAGACGCAAGAGGATAGATGGCAGCCATGTAGGAGAAAGGAAGAACTGACAGCTTGAGGGGGGGAAAGGGGAGAGGGACAACAAAACAAGCGAGAGACCAGGCCCGCGAACAACGTCGGGGCGATTTGACGCCTCTTTAGCGTGGTTTATCCTCCACCTCCATCCCTTCATCCCTTCGCCAAAAGCGTTTCTTATCCTCTTCTCCTTCTGTTTTTGCCCTCGACCCACCCCTCCCTGCGTTTGCGCCGTCTCTTGCTCGTCTCTCCAGTACACCGAGCCTTGGGGCGAAAGCAGCAAATCAAACTGTTTATCCATCACTCATCAGCACACTGGCCTCGCGGGGCCCCCGGCCCCCTCAAAACAAAGGAAGCAGGGCCGACCACAGAGCCAGGGATATCATTTAATTACATCGACGTGAGCGCTTGTTTAAAAGATGATCTGCAAAACATACAGGGACAAAAGTATTGGGACATACCTCTGACTTGATTAACCCATCAAATAGAGGTTGGGCTCGACCTTTTGAGTGGAGTACACACATACCAATAATCTGTTGGAGGATTTGAGCCCCACTTGCAATCAGAGTCAGCAAAGGCCCAATTGTCACCCTGGGGCATGCGTTTTCCTATCCTTGATGAGTTGTGACCCATTTGTACAGAAGTGAAGAATATTAAAGTTGTATTGTTCCAAAATAGCATAGTTTTTTTTCCACTCATATCAGTAATTTAACAGGTGTCCCAAAGAGGTGCGCAAATGTTTCCATGAAGTGTATATGACAGCAAAATGCATGCAAAGTAAATTTGTACTGTAGCAAAGGACATATCTTTCTTAGTGATGAACTTTTATTAAAGCTGGTAATCAGCGATCTTTCACTTCATTTAGTCTGCTTTCCACCTTGGATGTGTGAAAGGGGCGGAGCATGTCCTTATTATAAGTGTAATTACAGCTCAGAGGAATCCCCGATAGCTGCCAGAAGATGTTTTGAGCATGACGAAAGAGGAAGAAAGGAAGGGTGGGAGAGCCAGGTTGCCATTTTTTTTTTTTTACTTCCTCCCTTCAGAAGCTCCTCTTCTATCGCTTCTTTTTCTTCCACTCTCCTCTTGGCAGGATTAGCGGGGTCTCGTTAGAGGGGGAAATGTAATAATGCTCCCACCAGGTGGAAAGGGGCCATTATCAGTCAGGAGATGGATGGGCCGTGTAGGGCCGGCGGGGGCCACGCGCGCGCGCACACAATTTAGATTCAATAAACTGGCAAAGCAAGAGCCACAATCTGATTTATCTCTTTACACGCCGCCAATGTTCGCTGCTCCGATGCTGATTCCCTATTACCACACGTTGAGGGACTATTCATTGGACGTGTGGCGCGGCAATCGCGGGGGCTTGTTGGAGTGTGTGTGTGTGTGTGTGTGTGTGTGTGTGTGTGTGTGTGTGTGAGGATAGAACCACAGCAAAACAGACACAGCAGAGGGTTAATGCGTTTATGCACAGATAGACAATTAAATCTAAGGCTGAGGTGAGTTATAGAGTTATTAAGGGCGGATAGGAGAGAGAGTGTGGTTCTTGCATGGGCCTTAGGCAAGGTGCTGTACATACATCGTGTAATACAAGTGAGAATGGATATCATATTATAGAGTTTGAAAGAGCAGCATCCAGCCCACGTTTTGCAGCAAGTCAATACCACATGTAAAAAAAGCAGCCGGCTGAGGTCAGCGCAACTGTTATTCACTTAGCTTGTGTGTGTGTGTGTGTGTGTGTGTGTGTGTGTGCGTGCGTGCGTGCGTGCGCGCGCGCGTGCGTGCGCGCGTGCGTGGTGTGTGATTGCAAGAGGGCACGTGTTGGCGGACATGCACAACACTTCCAGTTTGACTGCGAGCGTGTGTTTGGTCGGTGGGCGTCATTGGCCAGGGCCACCAATCAAAACAAGGGCGAGATAAATCAACCTCGTGGCCAATGACAAACTTAATATTAGAGACCGTGCACCACCATTGGAAAAATGTCCCTTCCAATCAGGCCGGCTCGGCACACAAGCCCGCATACAAGAAAGAGGAGGTCAGAAATCAATGGATTGACAAAAGGCAGGCACACAACAGAAATGGCAGGAATTTGTTAAGATCGTTACAATTTCAAAGAATATTGGTTTGCATCGAGTTCCGTTCCTATGGTGGCAACGTAATGAATTGTAGGAAAGTCAAAACGTGGCATCTTCGGGCAATTATCTACACTAAAGCAAAGTCAATAATTACAGAAAACTTGAAAAACACTTCTGTGTGATAAGTAAAGATTAAGAGCCTGATTTACTAAGATCTAAAATGGCGAGCCCTAAACTGTGTGTCCCCTCACTACTAACAGACTGTGTGCGCTGTCCGCAACATGTGTAAAAAATAAAATAAAATAATGGAGACTGCCACATTTAAAAGAGGGCTTTGCACCTCAGAGCTCTC